AGCACAAAAAACTGACTGGGATTTGGTATCACATATAAGTTATGTATCATAAGATTACATGTATCACAGTTGGTTGTTGGTGATGCTTGAAACTTGGATCGAACACATGCACGCACAGCAGCAACTAACTCGAATCGTTACACAAAAAAAAACTATGTAATTCACTTCGAATTATGCATACACCCGCTAAAGGTCACGATAGGTTCGGTTCAAGCAATCGACAGTGGTCGATTCCGCATAATCCTACAATGAATATGAGCAATGCAAAGGTGGATGATCCCTGGAGGAACCATCGAAGCTTTGGAGCACTTCTACCCTTAGAAACTTTAGCTGAATATTTTTGGTTATGCAACGAACAACGGGGAAAAAGAACTGAAAACCGAAGTGCATACACTGGCATAGCTATAGGGTCGCGGAAAGACTGCACTTACACAAAGAAAGTAGAAGAAGCGCGGAAGACAAGAAGCAAAACAAGAAGCGAACGAACGAAGAGAATAAGCGGTATGTAGTACCCGTGGGTTTTTGGTTAGACTTAGGAGAACCACCTAGTGTCATGAAATGGAACTTGTCCTAGGATCGCCGGTGGAGTGACAGGACGAGACAACGCCGGAATCGCCGCAATCCGCTGGATGGACGGCATCATCCAAGGGAGCAAACAGGTACAAGGGTACAGTGCGATAAAGAGTATCCCTTGCGTCCGATCTGCCCAACTCGGCCAAGATCTCACACAATCGACCTACGGTAGCGTGCTCAGGCTGCTGAATAGCCCATTCGGCTAGAAGTTGATCTGTTCGCGACAGAGACTGCCCTGTGGAGTCTACCTGAAAACGCACTTACTTGAGAAAGCGCGAAAAAAATTGAAGAAAGGCTTTTACCTCAGGGACCTGATCGGTCAGATTCAGCTTGACTGCCAGAATAGACCAGTCTCTGCCCATTGCATCTGGAGGATCTAATAATGCTGCCAATTCGCATCGAGTGGTGATCGAGAGGTCGGCAACGCCAACGTCAATTCCTAATGTCAGAAGGCGAGCCACCTCGCGTGAGCCGAAACAAACCACATCTAAAAAGTGAACATGTAATGAATGGGTAGATCTTG